GATTGGTCGGCTCGGTGGCATCGCATCTCGACATGGTCTCCTGTCTCAACCGGTTCGAGGCTCGTACACACCATCTCCTCTGACGCCTCCTCCGTTTCTGCATTTGTGTAATTTCACTAAAACTGCTGTTGAACACTGATCAGCTCCAACATGATCTGCTCACTTTCCGTCGGCCTACACCAATGAAGAAGAAGAAACCCCCACAGTGGAGCGTAGAAACCCCACCGCCAACTACTGCTTTGGAGCTCAAGCACAAATGCTTATGACGGCACGTAGCCTACGCCATCGGCTGCGGCGTGAACTCGATGCAGAATTAGAAACTGGCCTCGACACGTCAACCACATCCAGGAGGGGGTGGAGCATCTGGTCACGGAAACGCCTCTTTTTAAAGAAAAAGGCTCCAGGATTCGATTACGCTTCATGCATCTCAGCCAAAAGCAGCAGAAGCATTCTGCACATGGCTAACTTTAGTAACATAAATGTGAACTGCTGTCTGAGAGAGAGAGAGAGGTGAACTATTTAGCAAGTAAAGTCACATTTAGAGAAAGCGCTTTAAAAAATAAGAAAAATCGGTCCTGATATAAAAAACTGCATCTGTGTCCCACCTTAGCACACGCACTTCTCCCAGAATCGCCTCTGATTAGCTGAGCTCGCCGTTATCTTCATGGCTGCGGACGTTAGCTCCAACGGCTAACGTGGTTCCTCAAATTAGTTGTGCATTTTTAGATTTCACCCACAGCGTGCGTTTTGTCCAGTTCGTGCATCACAGAAAGTTCATAAAATCCAAGATGTGCCCAGATATCTGCTATCAACATACCACCCGCTGGCTTCCTCTGCCACATCTCCAAACATGAAAGCGTGTTAGCCGTTACGCTGCAACATCGCTTAACAACTTCATTATCCATCAACTATCATCGTTGGTGGGCTTTAGTGCTGCAAACTCCTGATCGTGTTCCGTCACTGCAGCGATGCAGAATCATCCACACTAGTGCTGCACCATTTGGAGAAACAGTCATATTGTGATTCGACTATAATGGAACAAATGGTACTCCGAGTCTACTTGCTTATCAAGGAAAATGCACAAAATACTGACGTTTTGAAATGTGTAAAACGATAAACAATATTTATAACAGTAACTGTCAAAATGGAACTAAGGGAGCGAGTTGCTCTACGGAGGAGGCGGCTCGGAGCAAATACTGGCCCACTGGCGTCCTGGATCTGCTGGATGGATAAATCGTGGCGGTGATGGCGCAGTGGATAGATGTGGCCTACTATTTTACCACTAGTTGAATATTAAATCCACTTAAAGCCGTTTCATTTCTGTGGGTTTTTATTTATTCATTAAATCCTTGAGCTCTGCAGTGGTCTTTAATGTGTTGTCAATAATCATATTGTTCATCATTTGGAAGTTTACTGTAGTAGATCAAACCTTTTAACGTCCGCCCCCCATCCAGCCTGTGATTGGTGGTTAACGAGAAAGCGAAACTTACAGCCGCGTTTCTGAAAAGTTGAACAACAAAAGGTGTTTAAACGTTAAATGGCCAGCGAGTCAAACCCAAACTTTACTTATCTTCTCCCTGTTTTCTGCTGTCTTAACGCTTCAGCTGCTGCAGCGTCTGTCTCAGAGCGACCGGCGTTTCTCTCGGTCCGACTGTGTTTTGAACGATTAGCGGCGGGGGGGTCACGGTAGGTTGTTAGTATTAAAAGTTACTGGCACACTGCTCTTAAATCATTTTTCTGATTGCACATAGGCCTACATATGTGCAGAGCCACATGCGAGAGCGCGGTGTGGGCGGGGATAATGAGCAGACTGCAGCACGCACACACTTTTCGCGGTTATGTCATCGCACATGACGACATCGGGATTAGATTAATTGTGCAGCCCTAATCCACACCGTCATCACGACGCATCTGTGGCTCCACCCACACTCCTACGTCTTCATTTTAAATCTCAGACCTTCTGCTACGTCTCCGCCTCCCGTCCAGACTAAATCGGCGAATCCGAACACCTAAAACGTTTAAGTTTGAAAACGGCGCCGACCCTGTTCTGGTTTTAAACTCCGGGGTTGTGCGTTAGTGCAGACAGGTGAAAACCATCACTCAGACGTGATTTTGTAAATTAACTTTGACTGCAGGACTACTGAAGTACTCGTTTTCGCCTGGACCCCTCTGTCAGTAACACGTTCTGTGAGAGACGACGCTTCCTCTAACGTTCTCTTTGTTCCTACTGAAGCATCGCCCCGACTGAAACAGCCCTCGGGCGAACTGACCTGAGTGTCATGGCTGCTCCTCGTTTCCAGCGCTGGGCGTTCGGTTGCGGATTTGACTCCTCAGCTGTTCGATGAGTTCGGGGTTCTGCTGCTGCATCTGCTGAGCAAACTGCTGACCTCTGCGACACACACAGCAAAAAACACCCGTTAACAGCCTCCCGACAACAACGCAGACAGTCACGTGTCGACGTGAAGGCTGGGAACATCAAGTGAGAACTCGCAGCTCGAAATGAACCTGCGTGGGTCTAAATCAAACTCCGCTGGGGTACGTACGCCTGGATGAGTCCTGATAAATCTCCGGTTGCAGCAGGTCCAGCAGCTGCAGCAGGTCCAGCAGCTCCAGGGGCCGCCGCACTTCCTCCTCCTAGTCCTGCTCCTAGTCCTCCTAGTCCTCCCAGTCCTCCCAGTCCCGCTCCTAGTCCTGCTCCTCCTCCTCCTGCTGCTCCTCCTCCCACCCCGCCGTATGCTCCTGACATCATCCCCGACATCCTGGGAGAGAGAGAGAGACAAGACAGGAAGTTAACATCAAGAAACCACAGAGGAAGAAACACTGAAAGACCCTGACTGAGAAAATCAACTCACAGCTGCTGAACCTGAGGGTTGTTCATCAGAGACGACGCCTGCAGAGACAGAAGTGCACATATTCAGTCAAAACTTTATTAAGCAGGGCTCCAGAGTGAGACAATGTTTGGTGGTGCCAGCAACGGGTGAGCAGCTCGTGACCCTGCAGCTCCGTACCTTCCATACAGCGCAGCACGGCGGCGGGAAAGGGCCTTGTGACCATCGAAACAGACTCTAGTCTGAATCCGGCATAAAGAGTTTTTTTTTTTTTTTTTCAAACGAAGGTTAAAGTCAAGGACAACTGGACTTGGTTGAAGATACTGGAAGACGCTTGTCCCTCATCCAAGAGCCTTCTTCAGTTCTGACTGACTGGGAAACTCAGCTGTTTAACCTCTGTGGGGTCGTTAGCTAGGATCGTCGGTACCGCTGGTTCGTCATGGTCGTTAGAACCGCCGATGGCCAATCAACAGGTGCACATTTTAGACAGAGAAGATGGATGGTTTGAAAGAGGTGTGAGGGAAGCATCTACACCCGGGTCGAGAAGCCGTCTCTGAACAGAGGAGGGGGTCTACGCCACCACTTATCCCCCACTTACAATGCTGTCCTTTCATCACTTCCCAGGAAACTCATTGGCCTCAGGTGAAGATACCAACGATGGTCGTTCAGACTTGGCCTCAGGTCCAGTTGCCCTTGACCTCAACCTTTGTTGGATAACTATAACCTGGATTACTGAGAACCTTCCTCTATTTTACTTGTTTAAAAATAAACGCAACACGAGAACATTTAACCGTTAACTTCGCAGCAACCCTGCAGTCGCTGAACGCCGTTTTCTGTGACGGTGAAAGCAGAGATCCTGCGACTGAGGAAAGGTTAAAGGACCGTCCATATTTATTTCTAGTCTTTCTGACCACTCAAAGCGTTTCACACTACAGCTGCATCAATTAGTTGTCAAATATTAAATTAATCACCAAGTATTTAGTTTATCGATTAATCACTTTGAATCATTTTTTTAAGAAAAAACATCCAAATTCTCAGATTCCAGCTTCTTAAACGTGAATATCCTCTGTGACAATAAACTGAATATATCTGGGGACGTTTGAGGACGTCACCTCAGGCTTTGGGAAACAATGATTGGCCTTTTTTTTTTTTTTAAAGAATGGACCAAACAAATAATCGATTAATGAAGAAAATAATCAACAGAATAATTGATAATGGAAATATTGGTAAGTTGCAGCCCTAGTTTAAGCTACATGTCACATTCACACACTGATGGCAGCCGTCAGGAGCAATTTGGGGTTCGGTATCTTGCCCGGCGACACTTCAAAATGCAGAGGATCGGGGATCGAACCGCCGACCTGCCGATTAGCGGGCAACCCGCTCCACCTCCTGTGTGTGTGTGTGTGTGTGTGTGTGTGTGTGTGTGTGTGTGTGTGTGTGTGTGTGTGTGTGTGTGTGAGAGAGCTCACCATGTTCATGAAGCCGGGGTTACTGAGCAGACCGGCCAGATCTACTCCTCCCATCCCTGCTGTCTGAGAGAGAGAGAGAGTGGGGTGAGAACAGACCCATCACTGCTCCTAAAAACCAGGTCCCTCCAGGTCTCCTCCTCTTACCGGACTGGACGTTTCCATCTTCTCCTCTGCGATCTTCAGGTTGGCTTTGTAGGTGTCGTTGTCGGGGTCGAGCTCCAGAGCTTTCTTATAGTAGCTGGCTGCTTCTGTGTGTTTGTTGAGGCTGGCCAGCGCCAAACTGAAACACAAAGAGACTCCTGTCAGGAACAATCCCTGACGCTCAGCTCTTCAAAATATCGATCAATGAATGATCGTCCTCAACGCCTCCTGACAAACGCTCCCCGCTTTTCCTTTTCTAATGCAGAAAATGCGGCGTCTCACACCTGTGATCTTTTTACACCTTGAGAGCTACTCGACGACAGAGAAGATTTACAGCTCTGGTGAAAGAGCAGCTTTTGTCTCTGCAGCCTAACTGTGACAGACGGACGGAGCTGGTTTCCTACCCCATCCTCCCGTAGGCTTTGCTGTAGTTTGGGTCGATGTTGATGGCCCGTTCACAGTCCTGCACCGCTCCAGCGTAGTTCCCCAGTTTACTGTACGCCGCAGCCCTGCAACACACAACCACATCAACACCCCAGCTGTTCTTCATCCTGTCACATGACTCTGCCGTTGTGTCGAAGATGAAGGACTTTCTACCCATCCACCTACCTTTCTATCAATCTAGGAGTTTGATCAAACAGCTTTGAACTGAAGCATGTCAGACTGATGAGTGATGGCGGCACACTGACCTGTTGCAGTAATACACGGCGTTCTGGGGGTTGATGGCGATGGCCTTTGAGTAAAACTCAACAGCAGCAGAGAAGTTCTCCACCTTCATTTGGTCGTTTCCTGCAGTCGAAACAAAACACGCCACCTGATTACTGACAAATAAAGTCAGGGAGAGAAACTAAAAAGACAAACGCTGATGATCTTCTGAGTGAAGCAGCGAAGAAGAGTTTCCTCCTCGTCGTCGTTGTCTCACCGTCAGTTTTGAGCGCCTCTGCCTCGGCTCTCTGGTCCTCAGTGAGGGAGTTTTGGGTGGCGTTGTTGTTGACCTGCGACTCAACTGGATGCTGCAACACAAACAAACACAGTCAGTCAGACACTTCCTGGAAACGGAATCACCTTCAGCAAGAACGACGGCTGTCCCGATTTCACGCTTAGAAAGAGGCGTTCCTCGCCGTCTACCTTGGCCGTGGCCGAGGCGAAGATCTCCGGTAACGTCATGGGCACGGCGAGGCTCTGGTCGTCAGTCGAAACTTCAAACGCCGTCTCCAAACACTGAACAGCAACTGCAGAAGAAGAAGAAGAAGCAGCTCGCTTTAAAAAGACGGAGCGCATAAACAGAACTGAGGAAAGTAAACGAAGAGACCAACAAGAGGGAAAAGTCCCGGGGGATTCCTGTTCACTGATCATCAAAAGACCACAACAACACCTGGAAACAGAACACATGTTCACACGTGGCGTTTCCATTTTACATCTTATATCTGGGCGTTTTGGGGCAGAAAAATAACATATCAGTCAGAAAAAAGCCAATCAAAGTCCTTTAATGTTGTTTTTCTGCTGATACAGATTCTGCTCAGATACTTACAGCTAAATGTTGATCAAACAGCTGTAGCTACTAAATTTTCACAGGTTACTACTAGTCAAAAATATAAAAAGATGATCAGCACGAATTATTGATGATCTGATTTGAATAAAGGTTCAATGGGAGAATGTGGAAAAACTGACGTGAGATCAGTTGATGGAATAACGATCTGGGGAAGCCACACAGTTTTTCCAACCGTGCATGTTTGTATTTTCGCGATGGATTTTGTCATGTCCTTCCGCTACAATCGTGTTTACTGCTTTTTACATGCGTACGAGCTCAGTTTACATCCGTAACGCAAGCAGCAGTGTTGTGTAATTTTATTCTGCATAAAATAAAGTGTTTACGGTAAGCACGCCATGGCAGACCAGATTTTTTGCACCATTATGCGTTGGAGACGACTTCAAATTCCTAAGAATTACACTAAATAATTACACAAAAGTACGGACAAACCTTCCCATTCAATGGATCTTCTTTATTGTTATTATTTTCTACATTGTAGATAAATACTGAAGACATCAAAACTACAAAGGAACACAAATGGAATTAATAAATATGGAATATAATTTCATGTGTGTTCTTTCTTACCATGAAACTTCAAAATTAATAGCCGCCTACCCCGTTCACTGGCCTGGTTTTGGTACCCGTTTTGACAAAAGAACGCAGAACTCAATTAAAAGCCCGGTCTGGTTCTTATAGAAGATCTTTGGATGTATAAAACCTCTTAAAGCCCGCCGGGACGCCTGCTTGCGCTGGTTCATAACAACATACATGTTAAAACTTTTATGGACACGCTTCACGTCGTTAGATCGGTTAGATTCTCCACAATTCAGTCTTTCAGTTCATTTAACAGAAACATCAAACACCAAAGTCTAATTCATTCAGCATGGTAAAGGAATTAAAGGCCTGTCCCAGATACTGGGCAGGATGAGTTCAGTGATTTAAGCGAATAAAAGCCCGGCCTGTTAATTTACGTTTTACAATGTCAAATATTAAACTGAGCAGATACAGAGCAACACTGGCACTCAGGGGGAGTCGTGTTTTTGGTCAGTAAACAGTAAATGTTCATTTTCTTTACATTAACTGATTTGGCAGAGCTTTTACCCATATAAATTTACATTAACCAAGTAATGGTGCTTTCAGACCAAAAGCGAAGCGAGCGTTAGAGGCGGTGAGTTTACATGCAAAGTCAATGCAAAGACGCGTAGAGCCGCGATTTCCTGTCGGGCGGCGCGAAGGAATTCGCGTGAGTTGAATATTTTCAACTCAGCGAAGAAGTCACATGACGCTGAGTCGCGATAGCCTATCAGTGTTGAGATTGTCCGTACGTCACTGAGGCTTCAGAGCGATGTGTGGAAAGGGCCGGGCAGAGCGGGGGATTGATAATCTGCTGGCCGGCTGAGAGCTGCTAAACTTGGGGGAGAGGAGCGGGGAGCAGCGCTCCAACCATTGGACAGATAAACCCCCGCAGTCGGTCGGATTTTGCTCTGACAACTACGCCGTTTACTCGCAGGAGGAGCTCGGAGTTAACTGCTTTTATTAAATTAGCTTTTAACTGTAGTTTTTGGGATTACAACGTTGATTTATCTTCACTGGAGCTTCTCAGCAGCTAGCTTCCGTGCTGGACAAAGCTGGACGTTACTTGGAGAAAATACAGCGAGGAGGTTGAACTATCTGGTGAGTTCAGAAAACATGTGTCTGTAACTTTATTCCAGCTGTCGTTGTACTTTACTGTGACTAAGTTAGCATAGCATAGCCCTGATCGATCCGAACTCCATTCAGAAAACAAACATTCTAGAAATTGTTGTCTTGCTGTCCTGCTGACAGACCTGACAAAGCATGAATTCATATGTTCAACAAATCTGCATCTCGTTGTAGTTATTTCGGCATCAGTTTGATCCGTTTATTGCTATTAAATCACAGCAAAATGTTTACTTTGGGTTCATACAGTTGTTGTATGTGAACACTTGCAGCGATGTACTCACGCGAGGAAAGCGTTGCGAGGCGAAAATTCGCTGTTGGTCTGAAAGCACAATTAGGCTCGATTGTTCGGCCTGGGGACCTTTACTGGAGATTTGCCCTGACCAGGATTTGAAACCTGGTCCTGCATCATCCAGCTGCACGTCCATCCAGTCTCTTCTCCTGAGGGAAATATCTGGCTACTACACGCTCCACTACGTTCACCTGCTAATTTCTAACTCTGCCTGTTTGGTCGCTCGCCAAATTAACATTAGTTTGCGTGTGTTGACAGCTGAAGTGACATTAATAATTTCTCGTTCCCCCCCAAGGACTCTTTTCATAACCTTTTTCTGTGAATTAAACCCCAAAACATGGCAATTCCAGGACATCTGGGTACAAACAGGTGGGATTCATGAAGTGGAGACTGATTCAGCCACAGTAAAAAAGTCAGGTATCCGACTCTTGGCGTCCTGTGGTACGACAAGGACTCACCTTCCAGACTCTCCTGGGCGCCCGAGGTCAGATTCCCTGAGTGGAGCTGGTCATGGAGGAACTGGATGATGGAGAAGGCGAGACGCTTGTTGTCTGTCATGGTGACGGAGGCTCGGACCTCTCTGTGGTCACTGAGGGAGGGAGAGACCCTGCAAGCAGGAGGGAGAGGCAGCTAGCATGTTGTTATCAAGTCTTTAAAATGTTATACCGATGAAAAACAGACAGAAGCGCCACTCTCAGGTTAGCCACCCCCACTTTAGCATTAGCTTGTAGAACATTCTAGCAACTCATGCTAAGAATAACTCAGCGTGACTGTGTTAGTAATGCTAACAGCTGCGAGCTAACACTGTCCATCTCGGTGTATGAATCACGATCAAACAAGCGGATGACAGCAGACTGGTAGTAAAGCAGATAATTAATTAGCTAGCTGGGGTCACTGTGAAATATAAATACAGTGTCCATAAACAAAGTTAGCTGGTTACTTTTAGCCTAGCCTGTGCTAGCACGCCGACATAAACACAGGGTCCGCTGCCAAGACAATTTAATACAATTTTCCAATCTGATTTCTGGCATTTTAACGCTGTCTTGCACATCGTCGGCAGAAAGTAACGCCGAAAGATATCTTTTTTAGAATAAGTCGGTAACATTATTAAGTTTACTCCTCGGCAGCACATCATCTCAGCAGAATGTCACTTAAACAACACATTTGCTCATCTACTGCCCACTAGATGTAGTCTGTATCCCGGGAGGGAAATAGTGTGATAACATGGGGCGAACTGGCTAAATGACTAAAAGATGCACTTGCTTTAATCTAGTATCTCTAAAGTATGATTTGGTGCATTTAACTATGCCGAAGAAAAGAGTGGCCCCTGATGAATGATTAAATGTGCTAACTTTAGATCTAAAAGAAGTACAGTTTTACTCAGAAGCAAGGTCAAGTTGAATTGCCAGAGTTTTGAAAGGGGCTTGGCGTGACGTGTTCTCCGAACCACAGCGGCACGATGCTAACGGCTAGCTAGCTAGCGGATGGCATTCCGTTGGTGCTGCCGTCAATATGAAACTGTCATGACGCGAAATCTAACGTGGGAACACAGTAACGTGTTTTTCCTACCAGCTGTCTCTGTGTGTCAGGCGCGGATTTGCCCGGTAACGGATAGTTGACGTTAAGCTCCGCTCCTTCGTCTAATCGTAGCCGTCAGTCAGCTAGCCACTTAGCTCGTCGCGGAGATATGTCGTAAAGCATCAGCGCCGGTGTTGTGAGGGTTGGTGGTGTCAGGTTACCAGCAAAGCCTGGAAAACACCGGAAATTGTGCTAATTCGCCTTCAGAATAAAACAGTTCAAAAGCCTACTTTTACTATCACTGTGTATGAAAGACAAGATGAGATAAGACAACAGACTAGATAAAAAATAAAATTGCACGGAGCAGAGTAAAGGAAAAAATGTGATACACTATAAATCACAATAGGAGGATATATTAAGATATAAATAAGTAGAGTATGGGAAACAGTTGTGGAAAACAGGAGAAAAATATTACAAGAAATAAAAATAAAAAACAATTAATTAAATACAAAATGTCAGTGGAGACATGTCATAGATATATTCAAGGTCTTTTTCACTGCAGAGCACTTACGTAGTGTTGTAGTCAAGACCGCCCAAACCGAGACCAAGTCAAGACCAAGACCAGAGTTTATCGAGACCTAAACAAGACCAAGACTTTTAGAGGCTGAGACCAAGTCAAGAACAAGACCAGTTCCCCAAATTACATGACACACACTAAAATATGTAACAAGATCATAGGTACTTCTCAAATTGATCTGAAATATCCACATTCCCATTAAAACACCCACATGCACAAAATAAAATCCGAAATCTTTAATCAACACTCCTTTTCCATGCTTACAATCGTAGGGAGGGGGGACAGTCGTTAATGGGAACAACACATTTTTTAATTAGGGTTATTGATTGTATTTAAAGAAATACGCTTTACATCCAATCAAAGTTTGGATGTTAACAAATAAATCAGACAATGCAAAAGCAATTTATTGATATTCCCAAAGTTATGGTCTTGAAATAAAATCCAGAGTCCTCAATGTCCGAGACAGAGACATGACCATCAAAAAGTGGTCTTAAGACTGGTCTCGAGACCAAGACTGGTCACGAGTACTACAACACTAATCCTTGGGTTGTAATATGTAAAATAAAAATGTGTTAGAAATATGGTCTGTACACTTTTATCATATATAGAAAAACTTGAAATATATATTATGTAGAATAAATTAAATGAAATATGGCATTTTTTTATTCAGCATAAGAAAATGGTACACTGTAGTACAGGAATGACAGAGACTACAGTGCTTTTCATTTAATAATAACAAGTATGCAATACATTAAAATAAGGTGTGTGTTTACAGATGTTACTGGTACAAACTTAAACATACAAAAATATCATAATGAATATAATACATATAAGTAACTTCATTTAATAATGGAGTTAGTTTATTAAAAATACTGTAAATCCATAGACTGTATATAAAAAGTGTAAATCATCATTTTGATCATGGGGCCACTTGTACATACTGTATAATATACAGTATAATCCAATATAATACGTATAATTCGGCTTTTAAACATTTAATTTGTCAGTTTGGTGTTTTTCAATGTTGCTCCCAAGAAGAGCGCCTAACTTAGGGTTTTATTTTGAAATGTTTGCCCGGATGTGTGGTCTGTCTTTCGCCGCCGCTTGAACCCGCGTGCACTCCGCTCTCTGACAGTTCGACACACGGAGCTCGCGACCCGTCATTCAATACCTGAACCATGGGGCCGACAGGTGAGTCCGCAGCTGATGTTTTTAACCCGACCGAATCGTTTTAACGTGAAATCCGCTCTGTGGTCGCCACGTTTCCTCTCTGACTGTCTCTGTGACCAATCAGAGTTAATTAGCTTTGATCTTTGATTTTTTTGTTTAGCTAAGTCTTGAAGCTAACGTTAGCTAGCTTAGCTGCTGAGCTGTTGTCGGCTTGAACCTGAGCCAGCGAGTTAAATTTCACCAGGAAAAAAAGAAAAGATTCACGTACAGTTTAGTGTAACCCAGAGAGAGCCGGCGTGTTATGATGGTGGCTCGTGTCTCCGCTGTTCTGTCTCGATCCTCTCTCTCCTGTTTCATGTAGCATGTGTTAGCTAGCTCACTCTGCTAATTCACCGAGCTAACTTCACAGTTGTGCGGTGTGTTCGGTCCTTAGCGGGGAAACAGCAACTTCAGACTGACTGCCTTTGATTACAGATGGATTACCAATTATTACCAATCTCCCGCAGCTTTCCCGTCGTAAATGTATGAAAAGAACAATTTACAGTTCCTGCTGCATGCAAACTGAATACTTTTCCTAAATGGTCATAATTTTCTTATGAATTCGGCAAACTGCTGATCCACCAAACATCACTCAGCTGCTGCTGCTGTTCACTTTTATAAGTATTTTTTGTGGAAAAGAAGATGGGGCTTTTGTAAAAGTGACATTTGACTAAATTAAAGTGGAGTCTTGTGTGTTACATGTCTGACGATTCGAAAAGTGACAACACTGTTGACAGAAGTGTTTTTTTTCTAGGGGTTTGATAACAGATTTTAAGTTGGGATAATCAGCCACTATATAACTGAAGTTTTGCAGAGCTGTGGGGCTCCACATATTTTGTTATGTTTACAGATTTCCTGTTGGGAGAAACTGATATGGTTCAGGCCAAAACTAACTAGCTACTGTTTGTTCAGTTCTTAGACCTGAGGATGTAAGCTCAAATGGTACGGGAGGAAGATCAGAGAAAACGTTGAATTTAGTACACTGATTCAACAATATAAATGTAATTCATCAGTGTCTTCAAACTGTTAGAGGAAATACAGTAAAGTTAAAGGTCCAGAGTGTGATATTCAGGAGGATCTACTGACAGAAATACAATATAACTGTGTTTTCAGTGGTGTGCAAAAACCTTCCATAATGAACTGTTATGTTTTTATTACCTTAGAATGAGACATCTCTATCTACAGACCCATGTTTCTACAGTAGCCAAGAATGGTCAAACGGCGCAACAGTGTGCATTTTGTCACTACGTTGAATATGTATGTAGTGGTAGTCGTCTGGTTTATTAGAAGTAAGAAAAGAAGATAAATTTGGACAAATGGAGGAGCATACGTGTTGTTGTAGCTCAGAGCCACCTTAAATCATTATTGCACAAAGAGAAATAAAGTGTACATGAGACATAAAGAAGTATACAGAACTTTGATTCGTGCAAAATCACATATTGCATATACATATTTAGCAAACACGTAATGTGTAATCTGGGCGACTGTGACTCAGGAGGTAGAGCGGGTTTCCTGTTAATCGTTAATGTTCATCCAACACATCTCTGTAGCAGCGTCCATGTTGATTCCACAATAAGAGCACATGAACACGCACTGAAGTCGGAAGAACGACTTCACAACTCGGGGAAATGGGACCGTTAGAGGAGCACGTGAATGCACCGTGAGCCGCTGGTTGCGATTCGCCACCCTCACCACTAGATGCCGCTAAAACTTACACACTGAACCTTTAAGTAAAGGCCATGAGTACTTCTTCCACCTCTGTCCCGTCTTGCCTCCTCTCTTCACCCGTCCTGTTTTGCTTCTTGTCCCAGGTGAGGTGGTGTTTGGCAGCCCGGTGCCGGTCTGCTCTGAGAACCGGCTGCGCTGGGACCTGAGTCCCGAGCAGATCCGGCAGCTCTCCGACGAGCTCATCGCCAACACCAAGAAGGTGTACGACCGCGTCGGCGCGCTGGACCTCGACAGCGTCACCGTCGAGAACACGCTGAAGGCCCTCGCTGACGTGGAGGTCGACTACACCGGTCAGTATCCACCTCTCTGCATCGTATGCTCTGATGTTCATCTTTAAATCTGATCTTTGCCAGGAGAAATGTATAGTATTCAGAGAAAAGTGGCCAGTGTGTAATACTGACCCTGCATGTTATTTGAAAGTCAAACTCTGTATTTGTCAGTGCCAGAATTTATTTTACTCTCTAAAAAGCTTTCACTGTAAATTAAAACCTTTAGGAAAAATTTCTGCTGATAATTTTTCAAATCTTCCATCAGTTCTTAGATTTCCTTCCTCTGCGACGATAGAAAATGAACTTGCAGTATTTCACTATCATAGCACAATTTACATTTACTTATAATTGGCAGACGCTTTTATCGAAAGCCACTTAAACTTTGAGGAGAAACATCAAAGCATCAAAAGTAAGAGATCAGTTTTCCAGGTATGGAAAATGAGAGAAAAAGCAGAATGTCCTGGAAAATCTTACTTTGTCCTGGAAAATGATTTAACATGTTTTGTTGTGAACACATCTCTGAATCACGTGTTAGCAAAGGATGGATGATGTTAATTCAACCGAATAATGTAAGTTGCATTATGCTGGAAAATGATCTCTAGAAAAGATCAGGGAACAACGATCCTTGGAAGAGCACCAGTAAATACTAGTAAGATCTTTCGGCGCATCAATCAAGAGTAAATACCTAGTGGAAGAAGTAAGAGTTGATACTGCAATCAATACAAGAAGAAGAAGGAACGTAAGCTTGTATTAGGGAGTTGAGGCAGATGGTGCAGACCCAGTAGTCACTCTCTATGCAAGCATTAGGGACTTTAATTTGGTTCTGGAGGCCCCGGGGAGCCAGTGGAGGTCACACTCTCTAATAAATAAAACATTGGGTCCACTAGAATTTTTAAGTTAAGACTGCTGGCAGAATTACATTAATTTAAAGCAATGTTTTGAGTATGGTGAATTAGCTTTTAGGCCACAATAAAACACATTTCTAAGTAACAAATTGATCTTTGCAAGAGTTAAATTGTGTGTCAGCGAGTTATCTTTAGTATTTCTTCTCATCTGAATCATAGCATAATCATGTCTTGTAGTTTATAAACGTAGCTAGCCTACATGCTAACCGGAGCCGTGGCTAATGGGTAATCCCATATTAAGTTAGCTTGCCAAGACGTTTTCCCTGGCTGCCTGGCCACCTATTACTCCCGCATGTAAGCCTACTCAATCAGTGACAGGCTACAGCTACTAGCTAACTTTACCTCGGCACACAGACTGTACTATCAACACTGCTCAAATTTCAGAGTAAGGACTTCCAGATGTCGGTTACAGTAGGCTCCAGTAGCACCAACAGAATCCTGAGCGAATGCAAATATGTGTAATTAAGCATAAATTACTTACCATTCAACACATTACGCTTCAATGAGTTTCAGCTGAGGCCCTGTGGTCACTCGTCTGCCTTGAACATGCAAGAGAGGGAAACTGTGGGCCGTTTAAACGTCAACAAATTGATGAACTATACGTAAACACAGAGGCTGTGATTGGTCAGTTAGATTGTTGTTTTTACCTCCCATAAAGGTTTCTGTGTGGAGCAGCTCAGCCCCGACACAGAGAGGCTGAATAATTCGTGAATAATTACCAAAATGTTATCAAGACTAAAGTCTTTAAGAATTCAGTTTCTCCCTCTTTAACTCTTTCTTCTCAATTCAACCGATCAAGGTAGATGGCCGCCCACGCGTCGAGGTTTTCCTTGCCGCTGTGGCCAAGTGCTTGTTCACGGTGGTGATTGTCAGTAGGGGTGGGACTCTTTGGGCCCCTCACGATTCGATTCAGAGGGCTGCGATTCGATTATAAAACGATTGTCGATGCATCATTTTTCTCTACAGGATCCCTGGATAATTACTAAGCATTTAATTTGCACATTAAAATCCAAAGAAACATCTGCTAATTGGCTTAAAAGGACGAGTTTACATCCCTACTTTACTTTATTAACCTCGCAGCTCCAGGGTCCCTCATTTCATTAACAGCCAGCTGTCAGACTCCTCTGAAAACTGAAAACTAATTATCAGGATGTTCAGTCTGTGTCCAGGACAGAGCTGCACACCTGTTCAGTCTCAGCTTGTACCAGATGTTTTCAGCACTTGACTAGTAGGTTAGTTAGTACTGACATACAGCTGATCATTAATGTTACTTCGTTACTAATTTAGCTAACGTTCCAGGTTTCACGTTTGCTCACGGTGTGCGAGTTAAAAGCATTACTTGGACATTGATATTAATGATTGTGCGACATTTTACTGCGGTGGTTATTCATTCTGCAGCGGTGGTGGGCTGAATACAGGGGACCTCTGGTCTCCGGTCTGTTTGACCACGTTAGCCTGATTCTTTGTGCGTCGGCGCTTCCACGTTTAAAGCCTCGGGTGCTGAGTAAGAGGTCGTTCCAGCTCACTTTAGCAACTTCTTCTGTAGATCCACACAAACAACCAGTTGGTCCGCCGTTCAGTACTGCTAAAAATATATCATGTGACCAGATTACCACTGATTTAAGCCTGAGTCAGGCCAGCAGAGAGGAGTTTATTATATTAATGTTCCCTCCAGATATTTCTGCAGTTTGAACAGAGGACTGACGATGAACCTGAATGTAAAGAGGTCAAACGCAGCGTGAACCCGCAGGTTAGTCGTCCTTTGTGAGCTCTGCGGTAAAGCTCTGAGTCAGCAGAATCGGCCTGTGATGGTAAAGACTCATCAGCAGTTTGTAGAGAAAGCGGCTGAACGCTGCTGCTGCTGCTGCTACAATAGAGGCCGAGGCTTTTGTGGAGGCAGCTGGAAACCTGAAAACACCTCCAACTCTGCTGCTGCAGGAGGAGCCACTGGAACCGGTTTCATCACTTCACACCAACTCCTTTTTGTGATTGTAGATGAGACTGCAAGAGGGGGGAAAAGAGCGCAGTGCTGTTACATCTTTAAGGTTCATTCAGCCAGAAACACAAGAAATAATAAAGCAGGCCTCAGATCTGCTCTCACACTCCTGAATGAGACTGCAACTCGTCAGTCTAATCTGCAGACGCACCAGCTAACACGAGCTCCTCTTTGCATTCACCAACAGTCAGGTTCTCCTGCTGGAAGCTGAGGGAGGTGAATTGCAAAATGTTTCCAGTGTCCAGGATGTTGGTCAGTAAACACTGAACGCTCTGTGCAGATGCGTTTCAGGTGTCCTCACCTGCAGCCACTTAAATTTAGATAGCAGCTAAAAGCCTCCGTACTGTATTTTCAGAGTATTTTGCGTCTCTGCAGAGCAACTGATGTGAAATGCAATTCTTTTCTCAACACACATCCTCTACTTGTTCTGCTCTTTTTGCCAGATACATGTCGGCTGTGGATCGTTCCTAATGTGATGTTAGTTAGCTAACGCTAGCTAACGTCCTACTGAATGGTTCCTAATGTGATGTTAGTTAGCTAACGCTAGCTAACTTCCTACTGAATGTAACGTAATAAAGTCCTGCTGTTCTGCTCTTTAATGATTGTAATAATGAACAGAGGCCGATCAGCTGTACAGGAACACTGCTGATCCTTCATATCGTTGAGTTTTCTCTCAGTCGTCGGGGATGCGGTGGTTCACCTGTACTGTGTGATCGACAGGCTTTAGCTTCTATCTTTCTTTTTTTTCCACATCAGTCTGAATAAAACCTTCAAATGTTTAATGCAACTGCAAAACTGTCTGCTTCTTTCTGCTTTTTCCAACAAATTTGTCAATATTTCTCCAGCAACAGACAGTGGCAGCGCCGACAGTATGTCAGACTTAGCAACAGTAACTAAAGGGGGGGGGTTATGAAAAGAGACTTATGAAAGGAAAAATACACTGGAGCCTGTTTGAACTGTTCGCCACGTTTCCCTCCGTTAAAGCAGGTGGCAGTATGTAGAACATCAGCTGGCTTTAAGGATGGATGAACGTGAAGAGGAACTTTGTGCAAGTATCTCACCAGATGGGAGGAATTCCTCTCACTCTCTCATCCAACTTCATGATCACTCTCTTCTACCAATTGTCTCACTTTAGTAACATCTAATCACAATTGAAGTAATACATGCTGAAACTTTACGCTCTTTTGAGTTTTCATTTATATAATGCAGGTGTTCACAACATTTGATTTTCAACCAGGTATCACATTCTGACCACCTGACTGTTGTCACTTCTTTAATGTAGAATTGTTGTCATCGTTGCACTGATAATTTAAAGCAGGTGGTTGCCTAGTGGTGACTTCAGGATTCACTTTGGGCCGGATTTACTAATATCCCGGAGAAAGCGTACTAAACTGCGTGTGCATTCTAAAATATTGCAGGTGTAATTGTAGGACCTGTTATGGGTGATCAGCTATCAATTATTGCGTAGAAGACAACAGGTGCAAACACAACGGAGGCGGCAGTATTCAAATGAGGGTTTCGCGTGTTTTAATGGTTTCCGCCGTGGAGAGTCGGGAGGGAAAGCAGCCGCTGACTGAAAACCTCGGTTGGTTTCGTTCAGTGGAAATCGTCTTGGGACAGCACACCCTGAAAACCGCTTTGGGAAACCCCAGCAGAAACGGCTACAGTACGCTGCAATGACCCGGACGCCAGGAAATGCCAGCAGATCGCGTTTCATCCAGCCGGAGGGAACGACCACCGACCGTCCGCAGCGTGCCCGGTCGCTCTGCGATCTCCTGGCCCTGTACGCCCCAACGCCCCATTCGCTCTCCGACACCTACAGTGGGTTGTGTCGCCGTTACGACCGGCGCGCTGTGAACAGTTGGGGATCTCTGGCTGGGTGGATTTTACGCGTGATCTGTGCACTATTGCAACTTTCTAAACTCTTCCATCTCACCAACAAAAGAAGTCAGGTCGAAACGAAATTTGCATTATTGACATGAATGTTAACACAACAGTATTGCTAAAGGAAAATACAAAAAAACAATTCAATTAATATAGTTCATCCAATAAATAAAATATATATGGTACTCTTTTGTTTTTATTAGTTGAAAAGTAAAATCAATGCAGCAAATAATGAGTCATAACAATAACAGAGCAAAAGATGCGTAGGACATGTAAGAGATATAAACGTACATAAAACAAGAACAGCAACAAAACACAAAAACCAGATATACATCGCAGAAAGACTTTAAACGAGTCCAGACATTAAGTATCTTCAGAGCCTTTTTGTTGGAGGAGAAACGAATTGTTCTGAAATAAAGTTCAATTTCTTTCTCAAGGACTATAAATAGTTTTTGTAAAATTGAGCCAAAAGCAACATAAAGTTGACGGGAGTTGTTTTTTTTTCATTCCAAAAGGACATTCTGCCAAAACGAGCTGAAACCTGATTATAAACAATCATTTAAAGTTTTACATAAACACATTTAAATTTATTATTAAAGGCCGCAGCCGAACTTTTCTCCAGCTTGAGTCAACTTACTGTTCAGGAAATGCATCACACTGACTGACCTGTCTAACTCCACCCTCTTCTCTCTAACCCCGCCCCCTCATGTATGACTCCACCCCCGTATCTCAGTCCAGAGGAACATGTTGGACTTCCCGCAGCACGTGTCTTCCTGTAAGGAAGTCCGAGCGGCGAGCACCGACGCCGACAAGCGTCTGTCCGAGTTCGACGTGGAGATGAGCATGAGGGAGGACGTCTACCAGAGGATCGTCGCTCTGGAGGTGAGCACACTGACGTCCAATCAGAGAGATGATTGGTGGATAGGTCTGTTCCTCCTTTTCTCCCTGTCACGAACTCTCAGGTTTTTCCAACAAGGTGAAAATAAAAGAGCACTAGACTGAAATAAAGAGTCACCAACCCAAAGTTACCTGGAGGCCCAGAGCATCGTGCAGCCAGTTAGAGCCAGTTAGAGCCAGTTAGTGCCAGTTGGTGCCAGTTGGAGTCCAGTTGGAGTCCAGTTGGAGTCCAGTTGGAGTCCAGTTGGAGTCCAGTTGGAGTCCAGTTGGAGTCCAGTTGGTGCCAGTTGGTGCCAGTTGGTGCCAGTTGGTGCCAGTTGGAGTCCAGTTGGAGTCCAGTTGGAGTCCAGTTGGAGTCCAGTTGGAGTCCAGTTGGAGTCCAGTTGGAGTCCAGTTGGAGTCCAGTTGGTGCCAGTTGGTGCCAGTTGGTGCCAGTTAGAGCCAGTTAGTGCCAGTTGGAGTCCAGTTGGAGGCCAGTTGGAGCCAGTTGGAGCCAATTAGTGCTCTCTGTTCTGTCTAGAGTCCAGATTAGAGAGCATGTTTCTCCAGTTCTAGCCTCCCTTCACTGGCTCCCTGTGAAATATAGAATAGATTTTAAAATTGTTCTACTTAAATGGCCAGGCACCATTATACCTCAAAGAACTCCTGATACCTTACTGCCCCAATAAAACACGGCGCTCTCAAAATGTGGTGCCTAATGTGACTTAAGGTTAGAGTGGGACAGAGAGCATTTAGTTAACAAGCGCCTCCACTCATTTGGGTGCGGGAATCTGGTGGTGATGTTATCCGTTCTAGCGGTTTTCCGTCCAAGAACAGCGGTCCTTTGTGTCAACAGAGACTGTCTGGCGGGCCGCCATCTTGCTGAGGTCGGCTGAGCCGATAAGTTTCGTTTCTGTCGTCAGATTGAAGTAGAAAAGAAGAGTTTGCTTTGGCGGAGACGGTCTTTATCGGCCTCTGCTGGCGACCCGCAGGAGCTGCAGAGACCTGCAGGATATCAATCGATTCGTCTCTTCAGGAGAGAGAACGAGCCCACTCACAGCCCTGTAGGATGTTCTGTTCTCAAGCTGTGGCCTGTAAAGCGTGGGAGTGCTTTTGGTCACAGGAATATTGACTGTTTTTATCAATATTTCAATATTTTGGAAGCTTTATGTTATTTGGAACGTGGTTGTGTGGAGAGAAATAATGTTTTGAAGATAACTCCCAATAAAAGTGAACATATAAACAGTAAATATGGCCAAAACATGGACATTCGCCTGGTGTATTTTTGAAAGATTGTGTAATAACTGTTGTATATCAGTTTCTTTTCATCAGATTTACAGTTACAGTTTTATTCCAGGTGGATTAGAAGTTATTCAGGTGCATTATAATCTACCTCATGATGGTTTTGATGGTTTATTGCATTAAAATAGAGCTTTTTTTACCAGGCGAGGATGAAAATATCAGATTTTTTCTGTATTGCATCTCCATGTAGTCTGTAATGGTAAAATAATATGTTAATGTACAATGGATTTATATTCCTCAGCTTCTGACCTTTCAAAGGAGACCAGAATTATGCATCTAGGCCTGATGGTTGAGGAGATATTACTGATTTATTTAGGTTTGTTATTTTAGCTTTTCCTGGAAGTAGGTGCCAGGTACCAAGTGGTTAAGACTTTTCTGTTTTAATAAAGCCTTTAGTTTGGAGAGGGTTGAGCAAACTTTAAATTATTATTAAATTTGATCCTTTTATAATTTTATTTAGTTGATTTTATTCTGATTGTATTTTATTATGTGTTTATAAAAATTTTTTTTACGTACAATCTGTATTTTATGGTTAATTTGATTTAATTTCAATGCATTTTGTAAAGTGTATTGGGACCATGTCTTTTGGTGATTTTTCCACTTTAAATAAGACTTGACTTGACACTGAATGGACACTAGATGGCAGCGTGAGACCATGCAAAGCCTTCTAGTGGTATATTTCAAACTTCCTCCAAATGTGTTCAGACAGTACCAGTGTTGTCTTTTTCAGTTGCATCACCTCACCGGAGTCCACGATCTGCAGCCACTCTGATGCCATTTGGACCTGTTTCACTTCTTGCTGGGTTCCTAAGGTTTCTTGTTGTTTTTGTTTCTGTCTGCAGAAGAAGGTCGACCCCGACAGCCTCACCGCAGAGTCCAAGCGTTACATGGAGCGAGTGATCAAACTGGGGAAGAGAAACGGCCTCCACCTGCCCAAAGAGACACAAGAGGTGGCTGCTGCTTCCTTATTTTAAAACCTTTTTAAATACAGAGGGAAACGAAACTGAGAGCTAAACTCTCTCAGTCACAAGCCCGGTTTCCAACCTTTAGACCCGCGGCTATTCCTACATCTGCATTCAATCTACGCACCTTTTGCACTCACGTATTAAACAGTTCTCGCAGAATCACTGAGCTCAGTCGTACTGATCTTACAGATCTGCTGAAGATCATCAATTTGTCCGAATCAGAAATGTGTAATGCAGTGAGGAGGAGACAAAGCTTCCTTCACTTCTTGACCGTAATCATCGTTCATTGTTTTGAAGCAGTTTTTTTGAATGAGAGCAGCTTCGTCATGTCGTTTATGGAAATGTGTTGATTGATTTTTGACAGCAGATGCACGAAAAAACGAATGGCGTCAAAGAATCTGGCTTTCTGCTGCTGAGACTGATCCAACAAGACGTGACGAGCCTGCTGATCACCTCGGGACGAGCTCTTTTTTTGTATAATATGTTGTGACAATACCTTTTCTCATGGTTATGAAGCTTAAACACACAAGAAATCTGCACATTTGTTTGAATAGGTCAGGGAAATCACCTCTGTTCAGACAGGAGTGGGCTTTGTGGATCTGGGGTCTCATTTATAAACGGTGCAGACGCCACTTCCCAAGCAAAGGTTGTGATCTATGAAAAACAAACTGTACTTTGAACTCCATACGCACGTAAAGAGGAGAAAAGAGAAACGGCGCCTCACATGGCAGAAGGATGAAATTTTATTCCAGGCTTAAAGCCTTTCTGAATAAACAAACAACCGTTTGATAGATTTTCCCTGAAGTGCGTAAAAAATCACAATTTAAGATTCAGGATAATAAACGCAAACGGAGATTCATTTTCTGCAAAAGAACGCCTCAAATATGTTGCACAGTTTAATCAGGAGTCATATTAATTAATACATGCATGCAGCAGTTTATTCTCCTAAATAAGTTGAACAGGAGGAAAAATGATATTTAAATTGATGCCGTTTTCAGTGCGTCAGTCGAGCAAATAGGAGAGCAGAGTTTCATTCAGCCTTTTTTTATCAGATGAGCGCCAGCGTGTGGAAAAACACGTTATGGAAAATATAACACTATTTTATTAAAGAAATCTTTCAGTGGGGTCATAAAACATGTCATATTTCTTTTAACTCATCGGCAGCCTCGTTCAGACTGTTTGTGTAAATAAATGGTTAAAATCAGAGGAAGTCATTTGGTTTCCTGTCTTTTCAAACGGGGGGATCCAGATCAGTACCTGGGTCGTCCCGTCTGTGTGGCCCCCTCCAGCCAGTGACGTCACTACTCAGAGGGGGGCCCCTTCCTGCAGATGGGTTATAAAGGGGCAGAGCTCCGGGGCCCCCTTTCCTCCGGTGCACAAGCGTTGCATGAAAGTGCGTTTTTTTTTTTTACCCACCAAACAGCTTCAGCTTCACCAAAAGGAACGTCAGAGTCACGGAGTTAGATTTTGTTTTGTAGCTGCCTCCTTTTCTTCCTGCAGTCAGGACAGATTAATATTAATGAGCTTCGTTTACAGGCAGCTGTGGGCGTTTGGAGGCTCGGACATGGAGCTCCCTCACAGGGGCCACATTTCAAGTAGATTGTGATTTATAAAGGAACATTACTTACAGATGTGCGTACACACGGTTATAAGTCTGAATATTTTTTGCCGTACTCCATTTTTGTCTTTTGGGTGCACAGACACTTTTAGTGAGGATTTATAAATGAGAGCCCTGATGGTCTGTTTTGAAACTCTCCATGGGGGATTGAATGTAAGCGTTCTGATCCGCCTTCACTCTGCTGTGACAGGAGATCAAGACTATCAAGAAGAAGCTGAGCAACCTGTGCATCGATTTCAACAAGAACCTGAATGAGGACACCACCAGTCTTTCCTTCACCAGAGACGAGCTGGGTGAGTCCGCCGGGCCGAGAACCTTCAGGTGGTCTGACCTGGTTTCCCCCCTCTTTGCGTATTAAGACATTAAAGGTTTTGATTTCAGGCGGCCTCCCCGAGGACTTCCTGAGCGCTCTGGAGAAGGATGGAGAGAAGCTGAAGGTCACCCTGAAGTATCCGCATTACTTCCCCACCATGAAGAAATGCTTCGTCCCAGAAACCCGCAGGAAGCTGGAGGAGGCCTTCAACTCCCGCTGCAAAGAGGTGAGCCGGGAAGTAAACATCCGCTCAGCTGAGAGAGTTTCAGTTAATGCAGGTTCCCCCCCAAACCATGATGATCTGAGTGAAGAGCAAAGCTAACCACAGGAGGGGGGAGAGCTAAAATAAAGCTCCTCCGCTGTGCACATTTTACCCTGTTTCTAATGTTAGTGGCACATGTTGGCTTGTTAAACCCGGTTTCGTCTGTTTGAGGTAAAAAAATAAATAAAAAAAAAGAGAGTTTAAATATAAGAATAAAAGTGGCCACTTTAAGAAACAAAGGTCAGGATATTCTGAGTATAAAGTCATATGCTGTGGTTAGATTACATGTGCATGTGTTATGGAGATCGACCAGAATCTAAACATCTCCAGTCAAACCAGAACTTCAGTCAGTACTTTTTATACCCAGATCACGACAAAAAATGATTATTTGTTTGGTTTTGCTTGCAGACAAACATGCAAGCAAGCAACGCACAGAAAGAAAGAGAAGAGCAGGCTTTTTATTTTTCCTGATGTGCCTGCATCATAAACTATATAGAAAAAGCTGCACGCGCTCAGTCCATGCTGATGTTAACAGCCGCTCACCTTCGGCTGCGTCTCAGTTCGTCACTGTTGCAGTTTCTCACCACAAGCTCGGCTTTCCCAGTTTCCCAAAACTTTTATATAACAAGAAAAAAAGTAAAATGGATCACCTTGCTCGTCCATAACAACAATAAAAATAATAATAGGCTGCATTTTATGGAAGGTATCGAATGAAGTACTGTACTGGTATCACTTTAAGGGTACTGGTTTTGGTGCTGGTATCGTAACATTTTAAACGATACCCAACCCTAATGTGTTAGCGTTGTCCGAAAGTCAGGGCTGAAATTATTAGTAAATTATTTGATCGGTTGGCAGAAAATTAAATTTCATTGGTTAAAAGGTTTTTCAGGCAAAAATGCCACACATTTAATGGGTCGTGAGGACGCGCTGATATTAAAGTCTGGAATTTGATTTTAGTATTAAGTGGAAAAACCGATGATATAATATGATTTATTCAATAGACAGATAATAGCATACAGGTCAGAATGTAACATCCATGTGAACAGGTGGATTTTAAAAACATTTATTTACATAATAAACATCTAATTTTTTGTAGGTAGGTTTATTTGTCTGGTGGTGCGGCAGCAGAAACTCCTACATCTCTTCCCAGCATGCAGCAGGGATACTTTGGGCTCTGCGTTATAAATATATATCGCTCCACGTCCGGGGCCGTGCGCATCCCATGTTGGTGATGCTTTCTGTTGCTCCTCTGTAAAAGCTGACAGGAACTTGGCGTGGGAATTTAATCTTCTTAAGAAGATTCCTCAAGAAATCCTGAAGTCGTTTCTGAGCTTTCTTCAGCAGCGTGGAGACGTGATGCTGATTCCCAGCAACCTGAAACTGTTGACCTGCTCCACCTCAGCTCCTCTGATGGAGACAGGAGTGTGCGTCTTTGTCTCCTTCTTCCTGAAATCAACGATCAGCTCCTTGGTTTTTTGAAGTCTGGATATTTTAGTCTAAAAGTGGAAAATAAGCAGGAACTCTGATCTTACATTTTAGGCTGTTGGTTGATGCAGAAAAGGGATTTGAAGACATCGTGTTGGGATTTAGGGGCATTTCTTTTTACTATTTTCTGATGATTACACACTAAGCAACCAGTTTATTAGAACTTGAGTCTTATTTAGGTGGTTTTGTCCAGAAACATGAGCAGTAAACTGGCTTTCTCCTTTAAAGGGCTGAAACGTTCCTCGTCTTAATGTCCTGTGTGTGTTCAGGAGAACTCGGCCATCCTGAAGGAGCTGGTGGATCTTCGGGCTCAGAAGAGCTCCCTGCTCGGCTTCAGCACCCACGCTGACTTCGTCCTGGAGATGAACATGGCCAAGTCTGGAAAGAAGGTGGCCGGCTTCCTGGGTGAGTGAGCGCTGCACGCCAAACTGTTTTAAAACCGCCGACACGACGCTGACGTGAGAGAAACGTGAGAGCGTGAGCTGTCAAACAAAACGCTCCCAGACATGGAGGGAAACATTGAGTTGTTTCTTTATTACCCTGAAGGTGAGACGCAAACTGCTGCACAGACAGAAATGTCGTCTTGATCATTTGATGTCGATCACTCACATGTTTGTTGGAAATGTTTCACAATGTTTTGGTAAATAGTTTATCATATTTCAAGTGCTACAACAGATACTAGGAAGACTTTATTTCCTTCTGGACCAGTTTATGGTGGTTTAAAAAAAACTGTATTTATGTAACGAGAAACAACATTCAGGTGGCAGGTGACAATTCAAACTCCAAACTCTAACTGAATCACAAGCTGTTTCTCAGTCTGCGTTCTCGTCTGTTCTTGTGAAACGCCATCAGTCGCAGCCAAAGTACTGTTCCAATCCAAAGTCCGCGTCGAGCCAAGTGCAGTCAAATACCCGGATGTGTTGTCGCTCCGCCCGTTTTACCGAACATTTGGTTTATTTCATTTGAATCACAAACAAATTAGCACCTAATTTTTCTATTAAAACATTTATTTTGTTGAAAAAAGATTTACTAACCGTATTTGTTGAAAAGATAATAGTTTTAAACGTTCTGCTTCAGACTTGTTTAGTGATCCACTGTTTGGCAGTTTCACCACATAATTAACCATTTGGTTTCTTAAATTTTCACTCATGAGCAAAAATCTGCCTTTAAACTTGAAAGAAATAACGATTGACACATATATCGATATCAATATCAAATGTATTTATCGTGATAACATTTTTGGCCACATCGCCCAGCCCCAACTGTAACTGAGAAATCCTGCTGTTCTCGTGTCACAGTTTTTTTATGTGGGAATATAGTTGTTTAAACTCCAAATACGTGGTCGATTTCTCAAGACGGAGCCGATTTAAAAAAATTGCTACTACGTTTTCGGAGATGTGAGGTCCCGGCCGCTAACGGGTCCGGCCGCCATCAAGTCCGCTGCTGCTCCAGTTGCTGAATGACGGACTGCGTGCCCCCGTTCCTGGAAGTTTGTGCTCCCGAGCCGAACTCGCCAAGTCCGAGCTTTAAAGTACAGAAGTCCGAAGTTGGTGAACTCGGTACTGAGAATCAGCCTCACAACAAGTGAGTGCAGCTCTCAGATCTTATTTATCATCATCATCCCTGCTGATTCCTGATTCAGTCTTCCCTCCTCTTTGTGTCTCTGTTTGGGGAAGTGACCTCTTTAAATGTGACTGTGGCTCCTTTTCACCTCAGTTATAAAGTATAGAATAGATATTTATAAACTCCTGGACTTTAACAGCCCGTTACTCTGCTGTGCGTTACGTTGTTGATCCGCTGGTAGTAACGTTATCGCCCTCAGATTGTAAATTTAATGAAACACTTTTGATCACAATTTAATCTGGCGTCACAGCCCTAGTTAACATAGCAAGTAAAAAAAACTATTAGAGCAACTGGAGGTCAAAAAACTAAAGACTGATACTGAAGAAATCTTGTTACTGAAGAAACTGATTTCTACAGCAGGCTGGACGATTTCACCTAAAATCAAAATCACGATTAATTGAACATTTTGCCTCGATTACGATTATTTTGTTTTTGAATGTTGTTTTTCTTTGTCCTCATAGTTCACTGAGGTTTGTACTGTAAATATGCTCAACTATTAAAGATTCACAGTGTACCCGCCCTCCGGGGTTAAAGCATGATGCGGAGTCTCGACTGATGCCTTAACGGTTTCTTTGTCTTTCTTGTCATCCGTGTCCAAAATACCGGAGCACCGTGAAAACTATTAAGATATACAAAACATACAAGCACGAGTACTTTTACTAACATATTACTTTAGCTCAAACATGCAATTACAATAAACCTAATTAAATACACAAATTAAACTACCGTTACTCAGTCTCACTATACACAATAACCCTTAAAACACACAGTGAAGTAAAACCTCAAAGCTAAATGGCTCTTTGACAGTACATACATACATAAACAACTTTCCACAATAACCCGCATGAACAACTTCACTCCCGCACATAAAACTGTACACGCCTCGTTCCGCTTCCCGAGGGCGTTAAACTTTCGTCAGTTTCCTTCGTCTGGCTTTGTTACGATCTTCAACGAGTCAGCGTTTCTACCGCGGGCTCTGTGCCTGCTGTTGATTGTGGTTTGCGGTAAGTACGGGGTTTATTTACAGCCGTACAGGGTCAGTTTAGCCTAGTGGCAGAAACTACACTGCCCACTGGTGGACACTTGTGGTAACTGCGAGGAGTGATCTGCCCACGTTTACACCGTAATTCCAATAAAACCAAACTTAATACAAACAACTAAATATAAGGAAATATCAACAGTTACTAAGATCAACCCAGGGTGGGCATTCACTCACAGATTTCACAAATCGCCTGTCTAAATGTTAACTGATAAGGTAATGTTGACGTGCACGTGACAGAGACATGGTTCCCCTATATTAGGCTGCTACTAAACTTTAACATAATTATTAATATCAATGCAGAACTAATGATTTTCACCCGCACGCTGTGTGAGCACGCTGAATCACGCTCCTCATTCATCAAAGAGCGTCTACGTGACCGGAGCAGCGGAGTTAACTGAGCTCTTTTCACTGCAGTGCAATGGGTTTGCATAGCCAGTGAGTGGACGAGCGAATGAGGGAGAGAGAAAATGGCAGTAAGTGTACAGTGTAGGTCGCAGTGACCGGCCCTACTCGCGCATCTAGGGTTGGGTATCGAGACCCGGTTCCAAATGCTTCTCCTGTCGTGTCTTTCAGAGGAACTGGCCCGTAAGCTGAAGCCTCTGGGTGAAGAAGAGCGCTCGGTCATCCTCAAGCTGAAGGAGAAGGAGTGTCAGAAGAGGAATCTGCCTTTCAATGGAGAGCTGCACGCCTGGGACACCCGCTACTTCATGACCCAGGCGAGATTCACAAAGATCACTTCTTGTGTTTTTAGTAAGATGAGACGAACCACAGCAGCTCCAGGACGTCGTTTTAACCTTCTTTTTCCTTCCCTTCAGGTGGAGGAGACGCAGTACGCCGTGGATCAGAACCTGCTGAAGGAGTATTTTCCCATCGAGGTGGTGACTCAGGGTCTGCTGGACATCTACCAGGAGCTCCTGGGTCTGTCCTTCGAGCTGGTGGACGGAGCCGCCGTCTGGCACCCGGACGTCACTCTGTACTGCGTGAAGGACCGCAGCAGCGGTCAGGTGGTCGGCCAGTTCTACCTGGACCTGCACCCCAGGTGAGGCCTCCGCAGCAGGAGAAAGCTGTGGTGTTTTAAAGTAAATGTGTCTCCAGGTGTTCTCAGTGTCTCCTCTCCTGCCTGTCCCGCGCAGGGAGGGGAAGTACGGCCACGCCGCCTGTTTCGGCCTCCAGCCCGGCTGCCTGCTGCCCGACGGCACGCGCCAGATGTCGGTGGCCGCCATGGTGGCAAACTTCAGCAAGCCGACGGCCGACGCCCCGTCGCTCCTGCAGCACGACGAGGTGGAGACCTACTTCCACGAGTTCGGACACGTCATGCACCAACTCTGCGCTGAGGTCAGCTGATCAACCAGACACCGCATCCTCTCTCCAGCCTGCGCCTATAGCTGCTGTTGCTGCACCTGTCGAGCATTCGTGCAGTTTACAGTAATAACGGCGGCAGATTTACCTTCAAAATCCTCGGTGATGTTTGAAACAATGAGTCCTCGACTTCAGACAGAAGCAGCTTCTCAACTTCGACTTTTGTCTCTGGGAGAGTTTAGATCATGACGCAGTACTACAGTATTATAAAAATGTTTTCTATAGAAATACATCATTATTTATCTGAACAAACAACACAGAGGTTCATTTCTGATTTATGGTTTGGTTCACTTCAACAGGAGGAAACTGTAGGAAGAGGACTGATGAGTTTGACTGTGTAATCATACAGAAATGAAAATATACAATACCGGTCAAAAGTTTTAGAACAGCCGCCATGTTTGTAGTTCTTCTATAAATCTCAGTAGTTCGAGTCCAGTGAAAAACCTTAAATGGTATCAAAGTTAAAAACGTTCTCGTCACCAAAACAGACATTTTCAGATCTAAAATTAATTAAATGAAGGAGTTTTGTTCATTACTTCACTGTAGGATCATATATAGATTATATATCATATACATATATAATATAGTCCACATAAAGCCTCTGAGGGTGGATTAACAGGCGGTTCCAATGTGTTTACTGTAGAAATGTGGTTTTACTTCCACAGCTGCCGAATAAGCAAATAAGGCAACAAACAAAGTTTTTAGATCAGCAAAACTGAGAAATAATGTAAATTTCAGAGAGATAAAATTTTTAGGGATCAATAATGAGCTAACAACTTACAAAGTTATTCTGTTATTGTTTTTGGCTGCTTACTTCGGTTCCATTTAAGGGTTTTCACTGGACTTAAACTACTTAGATATACAGAAGAACTTCAAACATGGCGGTGATGTAAAACTTTTGACCGGTTGTGAACATGAGACTGACTTGGGCCAGAACAATTAATCTAATTGCAATCGCGATGTCGTCATGTGCGATTACATAACCGCAAGGAGTGTGCGAGTTACTAAAACAGAAAAGGTGTGTGAAGCTCTCGCCTCGCGCTGCAGTCCGCTCATTATCTCCGCCCACAGCGGGCTCTCGCATGTGCCCCTAAAAACAGATAAGCCTACGTGCAAAATGTTTTGTGAGCAGTAACTTTTAAGACAACAACTTACCGTGAAACGCTGGTCGCTCTGTGACAGAGACAGAGCGACGTCGGCAGCAGCTGAAGCGGTCAGACAGAAGTAAACTGGAGAGGATAAGGAAGGTTTGGCTCGCTGACCGTTTAACGTTGGCTGTGTCGGTGCCTTTTGTTGTTCAACATGCTCGACTTTAAACATTTATACATTTAAACATTATAGTCTATGTAATCGTGCACAGTCCTCCTCCAGGTTGTGGACAGAGAGCGCAGTGCTGCTTCTAGCCGCCTCCTCTGCAGAGCAACACGCTCCTCTTGTTCTGTTTTACTAGTTATTGTTCTAAATATTGTTTAACTTTATTCAAATTGAGAAATACAAATTTCAAAATGTCAGTATTTTGCGCATTCCTTGATGATTAAGCGAGCAGACTCATTGTAGCATTTGTTCCTTTAATTATCCACAATAATCGCAATGTGTTTTCTGATTGGTGGTCAGTCCACTTCCTGTCAGCTGGTTCTGAGTGTCGTTTTTTTTTTGTTTTTGCAGGCGGACTACGCCATGTTCAGCGGGACTCATGTGGAGCGGGACTTCGTGGAGGCTCCGTCTCAGATGTTGGAGAACTGGGTTTGGGAGAGGGAGCCTCTGCAGAGGATGTCCAAACATTACAAGACCGGCAACGCCATCCCCGAGGAGCTGGACAAACTCATCAAGTCCCGCCTCGCCAACACCGGTGCGTACCACACAGGAAGTAGTACTGTTGGGGTCGGCGCTTGGTTCACTGTGGTCATGGTCACTGTGGCTCTCCTGCAGGTCTGTTTAACCTGAGGCAGATCGTTCTGGCTAAAGTGGATCAGGCTCTGCACACCAGGACCGGACTGGACGCGGCGGAGGAGTACGCACGCCTCTGTCAGGACGTCCTGGGAATCCCTGCTTCTCCAGGTCTCTTCTTAAAAATGTTTATTTCAGTTCATCCATCGCAGTTATTCAGAGATGTACAGAGGGAATATGCTGGACATGGCTTCCTTTCACATATCTCTGTATCGTCCCTCAGCTGATGCTTCAGATTGTCCATGTTTAGCTTCTTAGTGAGCTACACCTGTCCAACAGAACGGGGCTCCACCCGGTGGCACGCTGCAGAACCACAATCAAACCGCCGCCTGACTGTTACAGCGCTGTTAGGGTTAAAGTTATTTTAAAATATGCTACTCTGATGGATTCGCCTCTCTCTGTCTGTCGTCTCTCGCTCAGTGTCCCGCCCACAGCACGGCATCAGATTGGTTACACATCACAAGTAATGGCCTATCAACACTTGCGAGATGGAGCAGTGTGTCGCTGAGTTCCAGCTACGGGGTTTCACTCGGTGGAGGCGAAAGCGACGGCTTTTAAATCAGTCGCTCTCCCCTAAATGTCATTTATACTTCTGCGTCGAATCGACGGCGTCGCCTCTGCGTAGCCCTGTACCCTACGTCGTCATGAACGCTGTCGCCTGACGTGCACCTCCTCAAAAATGGAGCCACACGTTGAGGCGACGCGGACCGTAAGCACTTTGATTGGTCGGCTGGGAAGCCTCCGAGCAGCAGTCAGGAAGTGACCCGTGCTTTGAAGTAACTTTTACTAACGGCCAAAACGGCAGCTGTAATACGGTGGATCGATATCTTTGACCGTCACACACGAGCGAAATGACTGTGTGATCCACTCGGTCGGTAACTTTTGAAAAGGCTACACCGGCTGAAACGGAGCGCTAAACGGGAAGTTAGTCTGTTTGGCCGACAAAAGTCAACACAGTGGACGCTGTAGTGCTGCTGCCGACTAGCGTTTGACGGACACACGGATGCACAAGTATAAATGCCTGGCTGCATAGCCTGCAGCGTAGCGACGCCCGTAGACCCGACGCAGGAGTATAAATCAAGCTTAAGCCAGTCACTGCGCTTCAGAGTTAAACACAGCATGCATCTTCTGTCTTTTCACTGCAGCTCAGCGTCGCCATGTAACGTTACGTATTTATTACTTTAAAAAGTAGCGCGGCTAAAACGGTTCTCTCACTGTGATGGTTTGCGATCAGTCCGCAGTTGACCTGCGTGCCGCACCGTGTGGACGGCGATCCGCTGTGTCCGTGATGTCGGAGGGAGATGTTTTGTATTGTTGTGCACGATCACAGCCCTGTGTGTCCACATGAGGAAAGATCAAGACAGGACATTGGAGGAAAAATATTGTGCTGGGCCGATTAAAAAGACCTTGAGTTAAACGATTCCAGCTGAAGTTCAGGTAGTGAAATATATGTAAATAAAGGTACTGCGCACAAAGTGATCAAACATCAGAAACCCTGACTTGTTTTTCCGTGAAAGCTGCTGCCTGGTGTCGTCCTCTGATCCTCCTCTCTGACCTTTGACCTTTCTGTCTCTCTGCAGCAACAAACATGCCGGCGACCTTCGGGCACTTGGCCGGCGGTTACGACGCTCAGTACTACGGTTACCTGTGGAGCGAGGTGTTCTCCATGGACATGTTCTTCGCTCGCTTCAAACAGGAGGGAATCATGAACCCCAAGGTCAGATCCCAGAACAGCTGGGGGGGAGAACGTCCCAGCAGACGGAGCACTTTGACTTACTTTTTACTTATTGTTACTTTTTAAATGAGCAATATTACTTTACTCATTACGGGGTATTGAAATAGTCACGTTACTCGTTCCGTTACAGTTACTTTCAGCCACCGCACCCCGTCCTTAAAAGTGACGGGGTGCGGTGGCAGCAGCGCGTTTTTAGAAATGAATCCACTTACTGGAACAATAACTGAAAACACTGCAGCCTCTCAGACCAGAGGATGCTGGATCAAAACAAAGCAGGTTCCTCCCGACTTTTTAACTGATCACGTTTTCACAACAGCAACAATGAGGATGAGTTTTACAGGCATATAATGTGTTTAGCGCCACTGTCTGAGATAAAACAAAAATCAAGCAAGCGTCTCGACTGTTGTTACCGTTTTGCACATGCGTTTATGAGAGAAGTATTCAGTGCTTTTGCAAAATACAAAACGATGATTAACGCCACTCTGTCCTGCCGAGTGGACGCCTCACTGGCGGTAATGTCAGATGCCGGAGTTTCTGTCTACAGGCCAAGTTTCACGTTTCTAAGCTGATGCTTCAATACAAAATGATGCAGCACTTCCAGCTGTGGAAAGAACGCCTCTCTCCCTTGTTCTTCCGTTATCCTTTTGGCGAGCAGCTGACTTGAACAACATTACGTCCGGTGACGCTGACCTGCAGCGCGGCCGTGTTGTTATATTAATATGTAAAATGAAACACAAACAAACAGATCCAACTCTGAAATGGCAGTTGATTATTAAGTCAACAAGAATTGACAAACAATGCGTAACCTACGTTGACTACGGTCTTCTGACCCGGGCTGCACATCCAGGAGTGTTTGTATACAAGAAACCGTCTATATGATGAGTTAGAACATATCTGAGGTTTGGTTATTCTCTAACCAATCAGCTGTGACTGATGTATCTGCACAATGTGAAAAGTACTTTGAAGACCACATTGAGAACAGCAGAGAGGATGTTATTTAAATGCAAAGCCCTGATTGGTCGCTATAAATGAGTTTGAATCACTCAACACCTGATGTGGGTGAAGTTTCAGAAGTCTGGAATCCGTCTTGTGACTCTCATGAAGGACACAGGATGTACGTGATGATGAGAGGTCTGATTTATGGCGTCCCGGCGGAAACTCGCTGCGAGTTGGACGGATGTGGCGAGATCAGACCTCCACCTCGCCGTGGAAGAGTTTACAGTCTTTCTTCTTCACGTTTATCCGTCATTATCTTTTCTGAGATTAATTGCGTTTTATAACAGCCCCGCATGCGCCGCATATTTCTGGTCCGAAATGGACCCGTGTCTGAGAGAGTAGTAACCGAGCCCGACGCGTCAACACTTACCGCTGGGCCGATATGGCCAAAACTGTTCTCGCGACACCATTCGATATCTGATTCTCAGGATAAATGTCAAATCATTATTTGTGGTTTCAGACTTTTCTCTGTGGTCTGAACAGACGCTTGATGC